AATGGAGAGAATTTAGGTGAGATTGGTCGAACAAAAAAGAGATTGGACAAAGAGAAATATAGGTAAAACACGATCCATAAAAAGTTCCAACTGAAACGGTAGACATTAAAAGCTTCATTTATTTATATATTTTTGTTTTATACTTTCTCTCTCTCTCTGAGTTACAATCTCAGTGGGTGGGAAACAATTAATGCTGGTTCGGTTTATCTTCTGTCTGAAATGGAAAATTTTATGCTAACCTGTGCAAGTAGATTACAAGTGTAGAGACTAGAGAGAGCTGAAGATTTCAGTCAACGAGCAGTGCGTGCGGTTCAAAATTGTAGTCGGTGAACTCTTCACTACTTGTGAATGAAGAAGAATAGATGCAAAAAATACAATACCTGAGGTTGATCCCGCCGTCGGTGATGGTTGTGCAATCGATCGGGCGGATGGGGAGAGAGAGCGTGAGATTCATTTGCGAAAAGAGAGGAGAGGAGCTAAAGGCTAAAGACTTCTTGCACGCTTCAGCCCTTCACATGATTTGGAACACATGATACGTCCTCCGAATGCGCAAAGGTTGCCTAGACGCAACATGCCTAGATTGAAGCCGAACTCTTTTTGAACCTTGGTTGTTCCTCCTTTTTCTTAATATAAGTGTTTTGTTATTAAAAAAAAATAGGAAATTTTTTATGGGTGCATGTTCTAATTTACATATGGTAGGTAATGTTGAAATTTTTTATTTTTATGGGTTGTGAATGTGCTATACAAGGAAGCATATGTAACTTAATTCAAAGTTTAGTCTGGAGAGTAATAATGGGGGGCAAAACTTTTGAAGTGAGGAGAATGATTAATTTGGAGATGACTTACTCAGGGCCAAAGTTGTGTCGTTACACCATATTCACACAAAATATGCATTAAAGATTCATCCCTAAATTACACATTAGGCAAAAGGTATCAAAGTTCATCCCAAGATTAACCAACTAGTTTTTGTAAGGATCTTCTACATGACAAGGAACCACAAAAAGAGCTTGACCCTCGTTGCACCTTGAGGGTTTTAATGAAGTTTTTTGCCATGAGGATACACTCACTATCACTCTCAGGTTGTAAGTATGGCTAGGTGGCAGAGTTAATTGTGAAATTCCCATTTGTGCTAGGGTTCCATCACATACGATCTTTCATATTGGACTCAAGCAAATAAATCCCTTCTTTTATTTTTTTTAATTATGGGGTTATTTTGGTCATTAACTTTGTTAGGCCCAAATAGTTTGATTGAGGATTTAAGTAATCACTGACCTTGCTATTAAGATCAATGCGAACTACATCCCTTGTGTTGAAAGTTATCATTTGTCAATCCAAAACAAGGGTTTCTCTTAATTCTCAATACTCCAATTTATTCATTTTCGAAATAAGTCCCATTATTTAGAATTCATTTCCAATTTAAGGACATGTTCCTATTTGGCATCGCTTCAAGGAAGTTCGGTTTTTTTAGTTACTTGCTTCAAATCGCTTTCACCCATAGGTGGGTTGTGTTTGGTATAATGTCGTTGCATTGATGTTGTATTTTGGGTAAATCATTACAAACTTGCGTGAAATGCTGAATTTGACATTTTAAATGAAAAAAATAGTAGTTTGTTTTGATTAACTCATTCAAAACATTTAATGTAAAAAAACCTCTCACACCATAAATTTGTATTGAATGCAGCAGCAACAACACAATACCATTGTACCAAACACCTCCTAAGCATTCAATAATCCAAGTATAATTTATTATTAAAACCCCCATTACAAAAATTTGTAGGTCAGTCGGGCTCCTTGACGTATTGATTATGAATTGTCAATTGTTTCAAGATTGTGCATCGTACCCTATGTGTTTCCATTTCTATAAAGGCCTTAGAGTTTTTGTTTTTGTTGTAGTAACGCAACACACACCACCCTACATTTTTGTTTTGATATTGGAGGCAAAACAAATACAAAGGCATATAAGGTTTGATTAACTTTTCAATTTTCATGAGAACCATTCACAAAATTGAATATACACATTTATAGTTTCTAGCATGCCACATGCCAACTCATTGGCATTGATAGACACTGATGGGCCCCAATATAGAGTTCACATCTATGCCCCACAATGCTCCACAGCACATCCTGACCTTGCATTAGGTACATCTCCCGATGATGGACATTATGGGGCGCAGATGTGAACTCCCGAATATATAGGTAATTAGATGTTGAGATTTACAGTCAACAGGTGCAAAGGGAGCCGACCATCTGGGCTCTCTTTCCCCTTCCCCCTTCTAGTTTCTCTCCCTCTCTCCCTCTCTCTCTTTGTTTTGAAAGAGCATTCCTCTCGAGTTTTTCTCGAGGCTTTTTCTTAAGTTTTTTCTCAAGGTTTTGTTCTCTGTTCGTGATTTGGATCTGTTCGCGGTTCTCCAACAGATGCTATTCAAGGTGAGTTCCGTTCATAGTTTCTCCATCGGTGGCAGTCGTTTGGAATTCTATTAGCAAATTCACTCGTCGTATGTGGTGGATTGGAGATGTGCTTTTCTACTTCTGTTGGTGACGTTTATTCACATTTATTTGATTGCAAAAGTTCTTTATGTTCTCCTTCATCCAGTTCTATATTTTGTTCTCTTGAGAATTTGTTTCAGTTTTTTTTTTTCTGATTGGCCTTTTCATCATTTTTTGTATCAATTTCTTGATTGAATGACATATGATGCCTATGGGCGGTTAAAAAAAAATACGGTCAACAGGTGCACAACAAGTTCAGTTTAAACAAAGTGTAACACATTTCAATTCCTTTTACTTGGATGGTATTATTTTTCCCATTAATTTTATTATCTATTATGATTTTATTGCTCCATGTGAAACCTCATACATTTTTTTAGGGAGAATGACGGTTCAGCCCAAGGCCATAATTTGTAGGCCCAAAGTATTGTTGGGGTAGGTGCCAGCTTGGGATTAATGCCAATTCACAGGCAGGTATTGGTGCATAGGGTGTGGGTTGTTGACATTTTGAATGTTTGTAACTGTGAAATGAAAATAAAAAATCTGCATTGTGCTTGTTTGTACTTTTCTTTTTTTAATGACTTATAACACATAAATGATTTAGGCACAGTACATTTAGGCAATTTACTTTGATATGGGCACACATTGGGTGATTTAATTTGATATAATCATGCCATGTTTTGAATCCCTGAATCCCATTCGGGTATTGATGGAAATATGAACAAGAATTTRTCATTTGGGACGGGGTTGCAAACAGATGATAGGTAGACCCAAATTTGATTCATTGTAGTAGTTGTCTCTATATTAAAAAAACTAATTTAAAATGATGTAAGTTCCATTTAACAAGTTATTGTTTACAAATAAATTTTGATGTTGTAAGTAAATGTAGTTTATTATCATCAGGATTATGATGAAGACTCATAAGGAAAACCATATGGAGGAATCTTGATCGGGATACCCATGCAATGGTACAAAAACACTATATTAAAATGATAAAAAGCTCATACACTTGCGATAAGCACACAAAGCCACTTGGGACGTGCAATGGGTATAAAATGCCTCCCGAGATCTGCGATAAGAACAAAGGGCCATCCAAGACCCACAATGAGCATAAAACACCTCATGGAACCTGCGATGACCATAAAACACCTATTGATACCTGCAAATACCACCTAAGGCTTGCGATGGATATAAAATAATATCGTCAATCTAAGATAAACCCGATACACAATTAACACCTTGCGATGGACACAAAATGATAGTCCATGACTGTAATGAAATGGTGGACAAACCCCGAGGCCGACGACACCCACCTACGGGAGATAAACATTAATTCCAGTCATAGTGAGTTATGACAAGACATTTTGAGGATAACTAATGAAACACTCGAACACGTTAGCCGGATCAAGATCTTATCATCGACATGTGTCCACAGAGGAACCGTAAGGGAATGTAGACTACATATGCCACGTGATAATCCTTAGGAGAAAGGAAATATTGTCCTTTAAAGATCTCATTAGACACGTGACGAAACCCTAATGGTGCTTGACGTAAAAATAAATATCCATTTTCCTAATATGAAATGTCTCATTTTATATCATTCTCCTTACAGCCTCAGGTTTATCTCTATAAAAGAGATAACAAATTTCCCTCAAGAGGACGACCACATAGCTCTAAACCCAAAGGTTTATCAAGGAGATCTCTCCCTTCTCTCTTCTCTTCCCCATCATCTCCCTGAACCTTTGGAGACTTGACCAAGAGAGTACAAAATTTACCTAWTTTTAAAATAATGGGTGTCCAACAAATTAATAAAAAATAGCATGTGATTATTCTATAATATATTAAAATATTAAGGGTTTATTTTCCAAAACTTTCCTCCACATTTCCCACTTTCTCTACATACAAAATACACTTTTTAAAAGTATCTATGTGTTTGGTTCCATTTATGTTTATTGAGTATATGTTTGGCATCGATGCTGCAGTACTGTTTTATATGGAAAACAGTTCTAAGCAGAAGGTTGTTTCTTGGAGCACTGTTTTTTCCTACATGGTGTTGATGTGGCATCGTTTTTTGGAGCAACAACAACGATTCCAAATAGACACTGAGTAGACGGTGCCACATATATGCTCCATCAGCAAAAGTCTCATTAATTATTTTCGTACATATCGATGTTTGCAAAAGAAAACATCAATTTCTGTGCGTCTCTCTCGTTTTATGAAGCTTTATTTTGAAACTTCTTGAAATAAGTAAGCTTTTATTGACACTTTGCTGATATGATGCCTAATGGCACTTATGTATCATAAATGCCCACATTAATAGCTTTTCTTATAACCACACAAATACAAAACGTTTATTCAATAAAAGTAAACGGAACCAAACACCCTTAGTGAACTTTATCGGGTGCGGGTATAGGGTAGATTCAGGAGTCAGGAGAGGTAAGGCCCAAGGGCATTAGTCAATTGATCATCACTGACCAGTGACCACACCAAGCTCGGAAAGCGGGAAAGAACACTTTATGGACTAGTCTGCAACAATATCCACATGTACGATGGAGATTAGTTCGCCAGTGGTCGTGAATCGACGGCCAGAACTGCATTAACCTTCATTCTAAAGGTAAGTTCAATGGTGGGCTTCCCAATCAACAGCACAATCCAAGCTAGATCCCCCTCTCAATCGCTCGCTCGCTCGCTCGCTCGCTCGCTCGCCTGCATTTTGTTGCCACTGCAGTTAAGGGGATTCCAAACTTTAGCTCTTCACTTTTTTTTTTCTTTGTTTTATTTATCACTTTTTCTTTTAAATAAGAGAACTATGTTCCAATCACTCCCTCCTTTTTGATCTGAAAATTAGGGTTTTGATATTCTCACATTTTGCAACAATAAGCTACAGATCAGATACTGATACTCCTCACTGATTCCTGTCTTTTTCCTTTTATTTGGTTTGGGATCTTTCGACCAATTTAATGTGAAATTTGTTGCTTTTTTTCCTAAGCGGAATTAGGGTTTTGATTTGGTGTCTAGGGTTTATTTTGCACATTGTGGTTTTAACCGGTTCGCACCAATTCCTTACTTTTCATCACATTGAGAACTTGATTGATCAGCAAAAGATCAACGGGAGTGAAGTTTGTGCCCCCCCCCCACAAAAAAAAAAAAGAAAAGGTAAATTGATAATGCTTTTTAGAATGGATCTCGTTGAGGACATATCGTCGAATCACGGATTGCTTTACACGTTTTTATTAGTTCCTTTTTGATCCAGAAATTTATATTTTTACAAATCCAAATTATCACGTCTAACTATTCAAATTTCGTTATGTTTTACATTTTTAATTTTTTGATTCCGAAATCTGTTATCATTTCCCCCTTGATGTTGCAAGTGTTCTGGTTCTAATTTTATTATGTTTCTAGAATTTTGAGGCTGGTTAAAAATGGCTGAGGCAAAGCCCGGAATGAGAAAACCGGTTTTCACCAAGGTTGATCAGCTTCGTCCAGGAACTAGTGGACACACCCTTACTGTGAAGGTGGTGAGCTCAAAAATGGTGTTGCAGAAGGGTCGTCCTGATGGGCCTCAAGTACGCCAGATGCGGATTGCTGAGTGCCTGGTCGGTGATGAGACTGGAATGATTGTATTTACAGCCAGAAATGACCAAGGTATTGTTTTCCAGAACTGATTAGAACCCTTCCTCACGGTCCAATCATAATTGTCGTATTTTAGTTCCTTTGCTGGTCTTGCAACCCATATAAGCATACACTTCATGCATCAGATATATACTCATTGTAGATTTATTTTTCTAATTCTAGTTTGTAATTGTTGCTATATTACATTCTTATGCCAAATTGGAAATATAGTTTGTCTTGCACTTTTGCTTTAGGAGTCACATTTTACTCTGGTAATTTGTAACACTAATTGATCTACATTCTTCCAGGAAAAGGTCATCATGGGTACAAATGAATTGGGTTTGGGTTGGATTAGGGTAGATCTGGAACCAGTCTAGTGCTCAATGCACTTGAATGGATGGAATGCAGACCCAATTTGACATTGCATCAAATCTGATTTGGTTGGGTTGGTTCTCTTGCAGTTGCTATTTGGTAGCGGGATGGCTACTAAGAATCATCTCTGCTATGCATTCCACCATTGGAAAAAAATGTCTTGACTAGGAATTTAAATCTATAAGTTGTATATTTAGAATAACACCAATTTTTTATACCAATCTCTAAATAATTTCTTCATTAGTATGTTAGATTGGATTGGGGCTGATCCAGAACTGATTAACCATACAAGAACCAGTCTAACCACAAGGTCCACAACACTGATGTTGTGTTGCATTTTCTTCAGAATGAGCTGGTTAGAATTACTGGATTGTTGACATTTGTAAACAGACCTCTGGTTATATTCAATTTGGGGCTTCTCAGTCTATAAATGGAAAATGTTTTACTTGATATTAGGAAAATCAGCTTCCCCATGCACAACAGCTTCAATGCTTCAATAAAGTCATGTATCTTTAATAGTGTATGCAAGATATACGATGTATTCTAGTGAAATAAATTTTCTAATTTTCTTTTCTTTTTTTTCCTCTCCTTAACTTGGTGCCAAAGTTATTGTGCCATTTTATCTTAATTGTATCAAGATCAACATATCAAATGAGGTTGTTGGCATGGCTGGATGACTATTGGGCATTTGCTGACTTATCTTGATGCTAGTGATGAGTTTTCAATGAAAAATATTGTCTTTGTTGCTTAGATATGGAATGATGAAACAGGATTAGTGTAGCCAACCCCATATAGTTGGGACAAGTCTTGGATGATGATGATGAGTCTGAGAGTTCAGGGGCTCTCAAGTTTTCCTAAGTACTGAGGGAAAGAAAGAGATATTAGAAACTTTCAAAAAAAAAAAAAAGGAAAGAAAGAGATAGTTGAGATGCTAAACATAAAAAAAAGCGTTTCACTCCCATTGTGATGTTTTTACCACAACCAAAAAATGGGAAGACAAAATGTTGTCAAGTTGTTGTGTGTGTTTCAGCTCCTTCTCCAATCCAAAGCATGAGTGGCATGAAGTGCCGATCTGGAAATCTGCCCCACTTCTTTATAAGTTTGGAAAATAATGCCTCCATTTCAGAATGAACTATTTTATCTCATTATTATTCAGTTTGGAAACATATACTGTGTTTGGCACGCTTACATAGAATTAATTTTGTAACTCTAAGAACTATTTTTAAGTTTGGATGTATGGAAATTACTGGAGCAATTCCTTTTTTGGGCTTAAAACTCACTCTAAGAATTGATTCTTTGTAGCTAAGAAGTTAACTTAAAAAAAGAATCATTTTTGGCTCAAAACTCATTCTTCAAATATTGATTCTTTGGAACAGAATTTTAACCAAACACAACATATTTAACATTTAGCATGTCTTGTGACCTATTTATATGTAACGAATGTCTACTGTCCTGACTGTATGCAATTCCATACTTTCTTGTTTGTCCCAACCGTGAGTTCTGTAGTGAAAAAAAAACATGAGTTCTGTATGGTTTGAGGTTTGTAACCAGGAGCAACTCAGGGGTGTTGAGGATGATTTAAGTCTAAACCTGAAGATCTAATATTTTGAATCTGTATTCAACATGGGATTAATTGCTTAACCTGGACTGGAGTTGCCTTGGATTTTCACGTTGCATGGTGATACTGACATGATCATACAAACACCAAACACCCAACTGTGATTAGGTATTGACTGCACATGGTGATAATGGTTCATTAGTGTTTTTTGATTCTCTTTGCATCTTCTTTAGTATCCTTCATTGGCATGTTTCAGAACTTTTTTGCTTCACTGCTTCCAGGTACTTAATACTTTTTGTAACTCATGCCAGCGGGTTTTTCAAGATGTATTTTTTTTGCTCTATTTTTGCTTCCCCAAGGAGACAAACTTGCTGTTGCTGCAATCTCTTATCCTTTTTTGTCACAAGGCACCTGGGCCATTTTAAAGGATAATGTCATAACGTCTGTATGGTAAACCTTGAGGATTGAGATATTCGCCATATTGAAATTCTGAATATGTGAAACCTCTTTTCTCGTAGAATGAATTAACTCATGGATACTTCATCCCTGGGTTAAAACTCCAAGAGAGATGGCTATACTTTTCCAAGGAAAATATGCATGTAGGGTACCAATTGAAGAATGGAAATTTAGAACTCTATTAGAATGAATTATCTCATCATGTTTTTTCCTCTTTTGGCTATGTGTAAATTGGGATGTTCTTTTAAGGAGGGACACCTTTTCCCTTTTCTTTTCCATTATTTAGTAGGTCTTTTACCTAGGTAATTTTTGTGGCCATTGCATATTAGGTTACGGTTCTAATAGGAGGCATGTGTTTGGATCCATCTGTCTAGAGCTAATGATTGTATATTTGTGTGGGGAATCGGGTTTCTTCATCACTAATATTTGTCTATTACTAACTTTTTAGGTTAATGCACATCTATCCACTGATGGTTTTTTTCCTCTTGTAGGAGGTGTACCATGCCTAGCTCTTTGTATATATTTTTTTGGTAAACTAGCTTCTGTAATTTTTTTTTTTTGATAATTACTAGCTCTGTAATATTTTACTCCATTATTTGTAGTTGTATGCTTTTATAGGGACTTCATTACATGCTAGGCATGCATGGTTCTGTCTCTTTTTGCATACGTTTTAAATATCATCGAGTGATGAATGTTTCTTGTTTATTCCAAAAAAAAAAAAAAAAAACAACATTGCATATAAACTTTACTTGTTTGTGGATGCTTCCAAGAGGCAGTTGCCAGATTCATACAAGGTCCTCCGTTAATTCTAATAGTTGTGCTTGTTTTTATTCTTGTTACAACTACAACTGCAATATTCTTGTTATTGTAATTATTAACATCATCATTACTGCTACCGCTGTTATTGTTGTTGCTATTCTAATTTATATAATTATATTATTATTCACAATGAGACAATGTCTTATGTCCAGTGGACTTGATGAAGCCTGACACTACTGTAATCCTGCGGAATGCAAAAATTGATATGTTCAAGGGTTCAATGAGGCTTGCTGTGGACAAATGGGGTCGTGTTGAGGTGACTGAACCTGCCAATTTCACGGTGAAGGAAGATAACAACCTTTCACTGGTGGAATATGAACTGGTGAATGTTGTCGAAGAGTGAATCGATGGAAAGTGATATGCTCCTCACTACCCCCAAGAGGAAGTTGAGTGAAACAAGATGTGGGTTTTGTGGTTTTTTGGTTGGAAAAGTGGTATTTCTGTTGTTTTCCTGGGCATCCGGGTCCAAGTTATCCATGAAAATTCTCTTTTTAGGACAAAAAATCTTGAAGCTACTACTAAGGAAGTCAGGTCATACCTAATCAGCAGCTGAGGCAGCCGGTGGACCTTCCAAGGAAGACCTCGATGCAGATGGTGATTGCACCCGACAGATGTGATGAAAACAGCTGCATAGAACTTGTTTATGGTTGTTTCTTATTTTAGGACAGGAATTCCTCTTCGGCTACGAGACAATTTATAAATGATATGACAAATATGGCCCTTCCTTTTTTTTTTTTGTTTCATGTACGATTCCTGCATGCTTTGGTTCTCGATGTCTCTGCTCTACTCGTGACTCAAACATGATTCTATATGTGCAAGTTCATATTTTATATTTATATATATGTGATGCAGCGTGCTTTGAAATTTGAATGTAGACAAAATGGAGATCAAAGCTACTACCTATCCTAATATGGCTGGAGCCTTGGATGTGTAGACCAGAGATCAGCTTCAACATTAATCTTTACAATGGCCCAGTTAAGTAAAGTTACAAGTTGTAACCTGAGCCCAGAAAGTTAGCCTGGTCCTTTGTATAGAATTGCATGATTGCCGGCTCTGTATTGGGTCTGGATTCAGAATCACCGATTACAATTGATCCATGAATTAAAAGGAATAGGGTGGGAAATTGGTCTGTTGATGTGAAATTTATGGGATTGCAGTAGTGAATGTGGGTGGCTTACCCAAATAATAAAATTATAAAAAAGGTGTGTTCAGGGAGGTTGGCGGTCTTGGCTGGATTCGCTTGTTGGGCACATTGGTCACGGGTTATATTGAATCGCTTGTTCTGCCGTCCCGTGGAATTAAATGTCTGAATGTATGAACAGATAATGAAGTTGTTTTTTTTTTTTTCCTGAAGCTCTAGTGTCTTGATTCACCAACTTTTAGGCCATAGCCATGGCTTAGAGAGGTGAGGGGCAGCAAGCAGCTTTTGTTGGGAGGAGTTCCCAAACTCATTTGTGTAATACTGCCCACAGTTACAAGGAACATCTTAAAGAACAAGATGAGATAGACTATCCATATCATGGATTCGCAGTGAAGGCTTTTTTGAGAATAGGAAGTTAGCCACCAACTTGTGAAGCAATCGATGGTCGATGGGGCACTGCTCTCTCGACTCTCATCCAGAGCTAGCAAAACATTAACTCTGTTAATAATTATTATAGTATGTGTTTGTCAATGCCGGCGCGTCTAGGGCAAAGCAGCAAGCCTAATTGTGGCTTGAGATATTACTAATCACATTCTTCTGCCCTTCCTACTAATCTAATGATATAGTCACAGCAGCCCTATCATTTCCCTTTCCCCCTCTCTCTCTCTCTCCTTCAACTTTTGTTGATACTCTAAATATGCTACAAACCCCATCGTCTCTTAAACCAAATGGAATCATTGTTGAAAAACTTCGTAAGCAAATCCTTGTTTCTTTTCTTTTCTTAAAATATCGTCTCTCTGGATATCACGTTGAGGTAGAGGCTGTGTCTAGAATCCTCCAACACAATTGGCTTTACCTTTAGCCCCAACAAGCTTTAACCATTATGCCAATGAGACTTTCTGTTTTTGATTTGGCTCTTAACATTCTAGTAATAATTTTGGTCACTAGTTGAATGCCAAAAACTTATTATTCATATTTATGAGGAAAAACCATTTTATTAACAGAAGCTCCCAAAAGAAGGTGTCTTTTTTTCTCATTTAACACTTTTTTTTGACGCCCCATTTAACACTGTTTGAATCAACCAACTCTTTCATATTTAATTAAATTTCTAGATCAGAATTGCCTTTATTTGCAAGATACGAATAAAGCTAGAGTTTAAAAGATACAACTAAATCAGAATGGTAGAGCAATGGAAGATATAATTTATCAACTGAAAGCATCCTTAATAGTAGGAATTGAGAATAATTTCCTTGACGGTGTGGCTTCAATAGCGCTAGAAAGGAGAGAAGGGGAGAGAGACATCTGGCATCTGGCATAAATATTGCTAAACGTAGTATTGATATCACACCCGAAGTTGGGATAGCTGTCAGCATATCAGGGCAGCAGAACGCGGCTAGTAATCGATCCCGACTGTACTGTTACCAGATGTATCATCGCATCAACCAAGGGTTTCTAGCAAATCCGGAGTCCCATGCATGAACTGCACGTTGAAACCCATTGCGTTATGGTTATACCTGGCAAAAAGTCGATCCAATCCGTAAACCCGACCCGACCCATAAATGAAGTAAACATTTTCTAGTGGTAATGAAAAAACAAATTAAAAAGGGGGGCATTTTGAAAACTTGGAAAAGTAGCTTTCTATTATTTTACAAGGTGCTGATGCAACACCAATATTTGTATAAAATTGGAGTCTGAAATGCTGCCATAGTTTTAAGGTTGCATTTGGTTCGCTGGAATAGGGATCTGAAATCAGAATTAGAATGGCCTATTTCAATAGTTTGGTTGGGCAGAATCAGAATCCCATTCTTATTCGGCATTTCCACATTTTCCTCCCTATCTTTAATGAAATCTCATTCCAATTAATTTTAATTCACATTCTGATTTTTGTCTGAACCAAAAAGATAATGATAATAGATCATTCTAATTCTGATTCTGAAAGATTTCAATTCCAACTGAATGAGAGGTGCAATGTCCAATTTTCTCAAAAGCGCCACTCTTAAAATAAACCTACTAACTTGTTCAACCCCCCCTCAAAATTGGCCACATAAACTCCATTGGTGGAATCCATATTGTAGTGGTGGGGGTATGCTTTCTCCAAAATAACCAACATTACCTTATTAATGAATAAATCATCTACAACATCAGCTTTCTTTTTAAAGCAAAGGAAAAAAACATAAGTAGAGAAACACTTTTGGGGGGTGCCCAATTGCCCATCATCCACACGTGCGCCCATACGTGTGCAAACAAAAAGGTTTAACTATTCATCTCTTTTGAGCTGTGAGTTGCAACTCTTTGTGAGTCAACTAATAGTAAGTGTTCAATGATTAATTCTTTGTCGTAGACATAGTCCACATTTGCACTGCAGACAAAGCCAAAAGGCCCAAGACAAGAGCCAGATGTAAGAGAGAGAGAGAGAGAGAGCTTCATCTGTTGTCCATATCAACCACCTACCATGTGCTGCATGGAGATGAAAGGATAAGAGATACCGACTCGTGCAAGCTTAGTAACTTGCTTACATTTTCTTTCCCATGTTTATCACAAGTAGTATAAATCCCTGATCTTTTGGGACAATAATGGAGTTGGAGGATCCACTGTACAGTTGTACTCCTGAGGTGGACAGCTCAACAGATAACCCCTAGACTATTGGGCCTGATGTTGGGCTCAAGTGGGCTTTTGGGCCCAACTACTTTTCATCCAAAGGGTGGAAGAAAAGAATCACTCTCCTTTTGGGTTGGTGAACGCTTTTCCATTTGAAATAATATTAATTAATACTGAAGAATAATCACTCTCATGCGTCCAATGAAACTCACTTTCAGGCATGGACGCTTGAAATGTAGTAATTAAGTATTCATTTCAAGCATTATATATTGAAAGCTGAAGCTATACTGAGATTCTGCAGCAAAACAACCCATAAAGAACTCCAATAATCTCGTTATAAAATTACGATTAATGAGGTGGCCGGCTCTAGGCAGATGCATGCCATGCACTACTAGTGGTGGACTCAGTCTGCATGACAGAGCCCACGATTTAACAAGAATCAATCACAACGAGCCAACAACTCTCACTCTCTTCAGTCGCTAGCTCCACTATATATATCACTACAGACTGCAGTACTCTACACACGTGGAGGTTAACTTCAGTTCTATATGCCAAGTGAACTTACACAGGTGAACAGAATCCCACAGGACCCACAGTGAGAGTTGGTTGGTTTATGGTCTGAGAGAGAGCTGTGGAGAGACGTATTTATGATGCATAGAAAAACAGTGAGGTGGTGACGGGCGAGTGACTAAATATATTGTATATATACCATACTGTTCTTACTTCTTAGTTGCAAAGGGTAAAGAGTCTTCCCTGAAATGGATATTGCCCATGTCGTAAGTTGCTTCGAGTCAAACAAGAAGCCTCTTTTTTTGCATAAAGAATCAAGAGGAACTCTGGGAAGTAGCAAATATTATGAATTTTTTGTGGTCTTCGCAGCATAGGAATCCATTCTTTCCAAACAGTGGTCCAACGCTAAAATAAGCAATACCACTAATAAAATACACAAGGGCAGGTCTTTGATAGTTTTGATTTTTGAAGCCTGTGTATGTGAAACTGTGACCCTCTCTCTCTCTCTGGCACTAAAATTGGTGGTCTGAGTTATTAGAGAAAGAGAAGTGTTGTTTTTATTTTATAGGGTGAAGAGAAAAAGAAGGAGAGGAGTTCCTTTCAACGCGGTTTCATGAGTCTTTTAAAAGAGTAAAAACAAAACAAAAACGCGGGGAGAAATAGTACAGAAATGGTGGCCAAAGCACCCGTGCCCCTACACTACACACAACCACAAGTTGCAATCCAAGGCCACAACACAACAATTTCTTTATTTTTTTTTGTTTTTGTTTTACTACACCATATATATATATGGTGTCCAAGTTTTTTTTTTTTTTTTTTTCTTTGTACCTTAGTAACTGTAATTCTCTTGTGGGAGTGGGACAGCCCATAGGCCATAATCCATAAGCCATTCTTCTTTTTTTTTTTTTTTTCAGTTTTTGAAGAAGGAAGAGGAAATGTATAATGCTGAACTTGTTTTCGTCAATGGATTGGAAGTTTGGAACTGAACAAACGAGCTCTACGACTGCAAAAAACATTCACTGTCACCATGCTCTTCATCAAGAGTTTGAAGAATCCTATGCGGCTAAAAAGCTTTTTTTTTTTCCCTTTTGCAGTCAGTGACTCGAGAAGAATTTGCATCATTCCTTCATGTGGCCTCTCCAGATTGAAAAGATGGGCAAAGCAACCAGATTGCTAATGGCGCCTGCAACTGCATGCCTCTGCATTTACCAGAAAATAGCCTTATCTTTTGTGGAGGCATGCCAAACAGGACCCAGGACAGGGCGCTATTCGTTGAGGAGTGCTGCTAGCTCCTCAGTCTTGGTTAGGGCTGCAACTGTAAGACGCAAGATGAACAACCAAACAACTCTGTTTCATAATAATTGTAAGGATGGAAGGAGATTGCAAAAGGAAATCAAGATGGACGATGGGCCCAGGAGCCCAGATAGGGGTGGGTGGTAGATAAGCCTAGGTAGGCTCTATCCTCTAGGTCCAATAAGCTTAACTACTCTCACAGGAATCAGGAATCAGGATCGATTTTAAAACGAAGGAACAAACCAATAAAACAAACAATTAGGAGGGATGGATTTGGAGGGTGTCTGTGAATTGTGACATTGATTCTGGGGTGGGATGTCGGTTTTTATGATAACGGGATTAGGTGATCCTTCTGGAAAGGGATTGGGGAGAATCGCAACTCTCCCTAATAAATACTCGTATTTTCATTTATATTTGTCAAAACCTAGACTCCCTCTCCCTTCGAGGTTCACAGCTGCAGTTGTCCGGTTGTCCCTGTATTTCTCCCTTCATTATTCAAAAATAGCAGCTTTCCTCTTCTACAGTTCTACGTATTTATTCACTTATAAGCAAAACATGATCTGTATATGAAATGGTTTCCAGTTTTAGGGATTTGGTGGTGGGGGTGGGCACTCGATACTTTTGCTTTCGACTCAAGCAACTTACCAACCATAGGCCACCACCGCTGTCCACTCTCCGCTATTAATATTTTGCCCAAATCCTGTCTCTCAGTCTCTCCTGAGTTTGACTCGATTTCAGACCCGGTCGGTTCAGTTGCCGGGTCATCCACACCTACCTGTAGGCTGTAGCCCTGGCAGTATCACTATGTACTGCCCCCTTGCCGTGCATTCAATCAATCAAACAAACAAACGATGACCTCATTAAGTAGAAAAAGCCTCAAACTTACCCCCACTCACTCACTCACTCCCCTCACCTCAGAACCAGAACCGGAACCTCTCTCATCCTCTTCCTCTTCTCAAATCTCAACCCTTCCTTCTAATTAAACAATCCCGGCTTTCTCTTTTATTTATTTTTCTGTTTCTAATTGCAGAGCTTACCCTTTCTAAAACTAAAGCAATCGCCTACCATAATCATTCTGAGGAAGTGGAGGAAAAGGAAAGCGGAGTTTCTCTCAACTTTACATCACCTATTTATATCTCAAGCTCCACCCAACCTACCGGCATTCTCGACTCTTTCTCTCTCCTTCTCCTTTCTGCATTACAAAGAAGCCTGAGAGAAAAAGTGGGGGAAACATGCTTGGACAGCTCAGGCTCATTACTACTCTCTTCTTCATCGTCCTCTCCTTGTTCCTCTCATCTTTCAATGTGAGAATCCATTCTTCATCTTGCATTCTCAATCGATTGCTCTTTTATTTTTTTTCCTTTGTGTTTTATGTATTATGTGTCTCCTTTCTTACCAAATTTTGTTTTGTATCAATGCAGGTTTGTTTCGCCGAAATCGGCCAAAGTTTCGCCAAATACTCGCCTGGGGAAAACCCATTTACGGCGAAAGCATTCGTGATCCGTTACTGGAACAAACAGATCTCCAACAATCTGCCAAAACCATCTTTCCTTCTTTCCAAAGCCTCCCCGTTAAGCACCGTCGACTCGGTGGTTCTCACCAAACTCGCCGACCAAAATGCTCTTTCTTCTCGCCTTCCGTCCTTCTGCTCGTCTGCCAATTTGTTCTGTTTCTCCGATTTAACCCCGAGCTTGGATAAGCATGACAAAGATTCCAACTTTGCTTCCTATTCGAACAGAAACTTCACCAACTACGGAACGTCTCAACTCGGAGGGGTGGACTCCTTCAAGAACTACTCGGATAACATCAATGTCCCCGTCGATTCGTTCAGGCGGTACAGCCGTGGTTCTACCGGCCACAATGACAAGTTCTCAAATTACGCCCCTAACGGCAACGTCGTCGACCAGAGTTTCAACACCTACGGCTCCAGCGCCACCGGCGGTTCGGGTGACTTCACCAACTACAACCAATTAGTTAACATTCCTAACCTCCGGTTCACCAGTTATGAGTCGGACGCTAACGGCCGGAAACAGTCCTTCACCAGCTATACCGACGAGACGAACTCAGGGGATGAGTCATTCACCAGCTACGGGCGCAACGGCAACGGTGTTCCAGTTGGGTTCTCGAGCTACGGCAAGGAGTCGAACGTTGTCGGTTCTACCTTCACCGCCTATGGCGAGACGGCTAACGGCGCTAATGATTCATTCACGTCTTACGGCTTCGACAGCAACAATCCTAAGAACAATTTCAAGAGCTACGGCGACGGAGGAAACGCGGCGATCGATAGCTTCTCCAGCTACAGAGACCGATCGAATGTGGGTGACGATTCTTTCTTATCTTACGCCAAGGACTCGAACTCAGCCAAGGTAAACTTTGCTAATTACGGGAAGTCCTTCAATGAGGGAACCGACACATTCAAAGGCTACGGGAAGGGAGCACTGGGTCAGGCGATCGGATTCAAGACCTACGGCGTCAACAACACATTCAAGGACTACGGGAACAAAAAGAGCGTCAGCTTCGCCGGTTACACCAACCCGAGCTCCGCAAAAACCACATCTTCTTCCTTGGTGAGCAGCGGCAAGAGCCCGAACAGGTGGTTGGTGGAGCCGGGGAAATTCTTCCGGGAGGCGATGCTGAAGGAAGGAACCGTAATGCCGATGCCGGACATAAGAGACAAGATGCCCCCAAGGTCGTTCTTGCCTCGATCGATTACATCGAAATTGCCTTTCTCGAGCTCACGAATTTCAGAGCTGAAACAGATCTTCCACGCCACCGAGAATTCGACTATGGAGAKYATCCTTCGGAACACGCTGGAGGAGTGCGAGAGGGCTCCGAGCCGGGGCGAGACCAAGAAGTGCGTGGGCTCCATCGAGGACATGATCGACTTCGCAGTATCGGTTCTGGGTCACAATGTGGTGGTGAGGACTACCGAGAGCGTGGAGGGGTCAAAGCAAAACGTGATGATCGGAGCCGTCAAAGGGATCAACGGTGGAAAAATCACCAAGTCAGTATCGTGTCATCAAAGCTTGTTTCCTTTTCTGGTCTACTATTGCCACGCCGTTCCTAAGGTTAGGGTTTACGAGGCCGACATTCTAGAGCCGAAGAGCAAGGCCAAGATCAACCACGGCGTAGCCATATGTCACGTTGACACGTCAGCCTGGAGCCCCGGACATGGAGCCTTTGTCGCCTTGGGGTCGAGCCCTGGTAAGATTGAGGTGTGTCATTGGATCTTCGAGAACGACATGACCTGGGCGGTTGCTGATGCTGCTGATTAATAAGTTAATTTTAAAAATTCTTTTTTTTTTTCAATTTTTCTTCCTTTTGGTTAGTATATAGATGATGAGTATATATGAAGAAATATATTGGCTATTGGCTATTGGGCCGGGGGTCGAACCCATGATCTCATTAATCGAGCCGCGGGGTCGACCCAGGGCTACCCAATTTCAGTAAGCTTTGTTTGGATTTTCTTTCTTAATACCTCAGTCAAGTGATCTTCAACTTGAAATGAATTTTAATGAAATGGTTGGTTTTTCAATTCGGAATTCTCTTTTATTTGACAATAGAAATGATTTAATAAATAAAATAATGGATGTTGGGTTGGGTTGCATGAATGAATCATCATCTCTGCGCATAAACTAGGCATGTGATAAATAAGACAAGAGCGCTTATCAAAAGAAAAAAGGAGAAAGAAGACAAGAGGCAAGCTTCAACTTTACAGCTACATTCCGCGTGAGGGGAACCACGCAGAGGGATAAACTAACGCCATTTGGATTCTTGGACGTGACCAAACTGACCATCCAATGTTATGGTGTGGCAGTGAATGAATGAATGGTGCACTAATAATAATATCATATTAAGCTCCTCCCGCCGATCATCTTGGGCCGCTCAACCCTCCCTTGTTTCTGTCCTCATTTCCGTTTCTTTTTTCGGTTTTTCAGAAAACAGAGAGATAGAGAGAGACAGAGACAGAGAGAGAATCAGTTTTTCTCTCCCATCAGCTCAAGTTTACGGACCAGCAATGGCAATTTGTCTGGTCTTGAGTGTACATCTGCATCACGGTTTCTCGTTTTCATGCATAGAAAACAGGGTATATTTTCTGTTTTTTTTTTTTTTTTTTTTCCTAACACTTGGAATTTGGATTTGGTAGTGGGGGTGGAGGAATTTCTTGTTCTTAATATTTCTCAGGTGATCGATCAAGGAGCTTATTGCAGGGTGGCGCTGGCATAATGAAAAGAGTGAGAAGTGAGAAAAGAATAAAGCTCCCCCAAGTGATGAAATGGTCGGAATTTTGTCTTCGACCTAGAGTGCTCTAAGAGGACCAACTCAGTGGGGGTTGCATCCGTTGCGCATAGTGCACCATACGATAATGATTAAAGTGTACTTAAAGCCGATCTGTATTGCTCCACTTTCTCTGTTCCCTTGTGCTTCAATTCTGACGCGGTCGATAATGATAATGAACACAGAACACCCTCATCCAACGATGAATGTCCTTTCCTTACTTTGGTTTAAACAAGGCTCCCGATGCACGCGCTCATCCTTTTCCTCTGTAAAAGTTTTGATGGTGTCTGAGGATGTCTTTTGTTTTCAATACTACTTGAAACCCTGTCCTACGGAGCCTTATACATATACTGGTGAAATCTTATAGTGCTTCACCACCCTGTAAAGCTACTGGGTTGCATCACCAGACACCAGTCCAGACTCCAGACTCCAGACGGAGGCGCTCACGATTGGATCGGCCAGTTGATGGGTCTAATGGCACAGGGGGTCCAACCATTCTGCTTTCCACTGGAGCTTATTACAACTAGAGAGTGGACTAATGAGCCTAGCTCCAAAATCAATTCATAATCTAAACTCCTCCTCTAAAGTCTGAGAAATTGGGCGCTAGGTGGGCCAATGTAACGCTGGCACCACGTTCTATGTACTGTTTTACCTGTCATGTGTAGTCTTAAACTCCAAGATAAAGATAAAAGAAATTGCACTGTATTTGTCAGCACTCAGCAGAGCTCAAAAAGGGCTGACAGATTTCATATTGTTTGGGAAGAAAATAGATAATCGAGATTATAAGCTTAGGAAATCGAAGACCAACTCAATGCGATTCTAAATTCTAATAGCTATCATCTGACTAGTAATTACACTTTGTTAGTAAAAAGGATTTTGGCCTTGTGGGAACAACAGTGGGACATATAAGGCAGTAATCCAGGACAGTGGGGGTGCAGTGGAAGAAGGTTCGGTAAGTGGGCTGGGCATAACGAATGGCGTAATTATCGGTAGTCTGTAGTCCGTGGTCAGGTACCTCTCAAGAGTCAAGAGTACAGCTTTTTTTTCTTCTTCTTCTTCTTCACTTTCTTCTTACTGCTTGGGTCCCTGTGAAGCTGATAAGAGTGGGAAACAGCCCGTAGACATGAAGCCAATCAAAGAATCATGACGAAGTCTGTGTGCCCTTCTTCACCACTCACTCTCCTATACCCGTACCACTTGTGCTCTGTTTTTACATGACTAGAGTGACATTCCTGATTAGGCGTGCGGTCAAAGTAAGAAAGGAAGTGAGAGAGAGAGAGGAAGGGAGAAGAGAGGAGAAACTAGAAAGTGAGAAACAGGCTGCGTATCGGTTGGAACACCCCAATTTCGGTGGCAGCATACTGCACAGATATTCTCTGGAAAAAAGTTGCTTTGGAGTGCAAACCAAGCAACAGGGCGCCGGAAATTCGATTACCTTCACTCTTCACTCGGGGTGGGGGGTTTGGCGGTTGGCGCCACAAATGACGTAGACATAGTTGAGTGTTTTGTTCCCAAGCGGCCCTGCAGCTGAAGAAGCAGACTCAGGACTCTTACATTCATGCTTCCTCTTTTTGGTTGAGCCTCCAGCGCAATCCGCAAGAGTGAGAGTCGGACTGGGTCCAGCCCGACGCCTAGGACAAGATGGTTACTGGTTAGCCGAGAAATGGAGCTGGGCTCAGGTTAAGATTAAAAAGTGAAAAACGCTAAACGATAAAGAGCAGAGGAGACAAGGACAGAACCCACTCCGAGTACAAGAGTTGGCCGTTACTCCATTTTCAGAGAAGCACTCCTTCAAATATTTTTAGTTGTGAAATTGCTATTAACGGTTTATAATTCCCAATTTGTCAAGCACCGTGCAATTGATTACTCGCACTTAATTCAACATCTGTTTTGATCATTTAATCAAACACCATCCATGCAATCGTTAGAAACTCGTACTACGGCAACATATTTGCCATAAATCTGTAATAACTTTGATCTGAGAGAATGCACATGGACGTCAGACGCGTTACTTCTCCTTTAGTATGGTCGGTGTGAACTCTTGCGCCAAATAGCGAGTCTTTCATCGGTTTGAAGGGAACAGAGGAGTGAAGCTCTCGAGGGCAGTCTCAACTCTGAAATGGATTAAATTTGGGGAACCCTGTAGGCCCAATATAAATAACTTTCCACTTGCTCGATCCAATACTTACCTACCTCCCCAGTCCCCACCAAAACCAGCAAGGTCACGTCACATTTACTGTTTTTTACCGTCTCATCCGCTCCAAACATTGTAACAGGTTTCGGTCAGCTTCAATGGAGTTTCTGAATTCTGAAATGCGTACACACATACAAGTAAAATGAATGTAAAAGCATGAAAACTGAACTCAACGTATAAATTACAAACCAATAAAGCACCAGATTGGTCATGGAGCGGTGTTGATAGCCATTGGAAATTGCGTTATTGGGTTGGTGGCATCTGATTCGATTCTGATAGCAGATTCAAGAATCATTTATGGAGTCATGTTCAGGGTTGAATGTAAGTATGATCTACGAATACTCTACCACTTTTAGATTGGTTTCTGTCAGTTGGGAAGCAAGATGCCAACCACAAAACCTTACATCTTTTGCATTTTCAGGTCCAGACGTCCATGGGTTTAAATTTTTCTGAATTCCGGAATTTCAGTTTCCTTGCGGTAACAGAATTATGAGATTTCAGGTGGATTTCGTCATATATTTTGTCCTTTTTTTTGGGGTACAAAGTCTATACAAGTAAATAATGTAATATGGTTACAATAAATAAAATGAAATATATTTCTAAAGTTTTGATTTTTTAAGGGTCTGAAGTGGACAAAGGTTAATTCTGAAATGAAGAGTATTGAGTAGGACCATAACCCTAATACCTCAGTTTTTACTGGTTAGTTTGGCTCAGTATATATTTGCATTTATACTCTTTCCAAACTGAGCCTATAGAATATTATTTGCAACCAATCCTGATTAGATGCTAGAGTTCTAATTGTGGAGACATTTCACACAGCTAGTCATTTGATCAGCTTGAGCTGGGGCTTTGGTCTTGGTGTTATGTGGACCATATTGACATAAAAGGGGTGGGTCTGGGTGTTGTTTGGATTGAATAATTAATGATATTGGAATGAATAATTACAACGTATCATTCTCTCCCATAAGATCATCATCTAATTTGGCCAATAATATGAGGTCGGTTACATGAATGCCATGAAACATGTCCTTCATTCCATTGACCATAAAGCAATTGCAATCAATTTCATCTGTGCAAGTACTTTCTGCAACAAAGAACACTATTAGTTAATGGCAAACATGAAGAAAAACCAAGATAAAACTAAAGTCACAATGGTGTACCAAAGATCAGTTTTGTTGCAGCTCCAGAAAAAAGAGTTTCATCAGGTTTCAGCTCATGCCTATAAATAATAGACCCGAGCACAGATCAATTGAGGCTGAAGGATGTGATTGGACAAGGGAGCATCTGGGTCAATAAACCCAGTTGATCTTTATTACCAAAAGCAAAAAGTTATTGAACATGGCTTATTTGATATGTTTTAGGTGGAAATTAAGGCCATAAATCCAGCATTAGGTCTCCTTAGAATTTGGAAATAGTAAGACAGACAATAGAAAGAAAGGACACACAGAAGATGTTTGATGCTTTGAATTTTGAAGCACCAGAAAAGTAAATGAAGAACAACTATATCATACCAGCTTATTTAGATCTAATAACTATGGAAGGTGTAGCCAGACTCACAACCCACCAAAACTATTAATTGGGCATTTAAGTCCCAAGGACCATTGTTGTAACTAGTAATAATTCTTGTGTGCCTTCGGGCAACCCACCATTTTAAAGCAGGAACTGAGCATGTACTAACAAGGTCGTCCTGCACAGTTTATGAGCCCCTCATGTCTCTCCACCACCTGCTGTAAAATAAAGAAATAGCAGCTCATTTTAGGCCTTTCCTACTTACCTATAGTTAGCTGCTCCAGTGGCCCAATTAAGTATCAGACTTGTCTGATCGAATTACTACTCTCCTCAAGCTCAAAATTTAATGCTCTCTATCGCTGGGAACTGAGAACTGGAGGCAAGCAGCGCCCTCGATTGACCCGTTCCTGTGGGGGTGGGTTTTTAGACCACTGGTTCGGGAAAACCCGAAACTCTTCCATTGGACAGAGGAAACAATTAAAGGGAATCCAAAAACACCAGAGGGTCTCTTCCAAAGGCCAAACTTCAAACATGGAGAAGCAATTAGAGGCAAG